ACTGCACTCCAGTCTGGGCAACCGAGTGAGACTCCAACTCAAAAAAAAAGAAAAGAAAAGTCTATTTGAAAGTAAATTAGAAGTCGGGCTCGGTGGTTCAGCCTGTAATCTCGCACCTTGGGAGGCTGAGGTGAGTGGATTGCCTGAGCCCGCGGGTTCGAGACCTGCCCGGGCAACTTGGCAAGATTTCATCTCTACAATAAATCAAAGATTAGTCGGGCGTGGTAGCCCTTGCCTGTAGTTCCAGTTCCTTGGAAGACTGAGGCAGAAGGATCCCCGGAGCCCAGCAGGTCGAGGCTGCGGTGGCCGGGAGCGGCCACTGCACTCCAGTCTGGGCGACAGAGTGAGACTCCAACTCAAAAAAAAAAAAAAGTAGATTAGAGAGAGAAAGAGAAAGAAGAGAGAAGATTCACCTCCCCAAGGTGGGGGAGGAGACCAAAGCCAGGAAGCATGGCGACAGCCGTGGCTCAAAGAGCACATGGCCACACCAGACCCTGGCAAGGCAGCGGCCCCTGGTGGCTTGTGGCTGAGTCCTTTTAACCATTCCCCTAGACGGGGGAGGATCATTAAGGTGGTTGGGTGGTGGTCTGCTTCCACGTCATCACAAAGGGGCGGGCAAGCACAGGCACTGAGGATGTCAGGTGACGAACAGCAGGCAGATGGGTGGGTGAGTCACATGATTGCGGCCATGGTGGGGCTTCTCGGTGTCACATAGGTTAACCCTGGGGTTTGAGGGGTTTCCTGCAAGAGACTTGCTAGACATTTGCAACTCACAAATTCCTTAACCAAAGGTGGGGTGGTCGTATTATTACTTTTATGACTTTGGCCTTGACAAGGAATCAAAAGTTTACTAGAGATTATTATGCCAAATCAGGAATGGTTGGGTTGTTCTGATCTTGCATCTGAAGGAGATTTGCCTATCGGGATGGGATAGGCTGCTGCTTGTCCTGCAGCAGAATGTCTGAATGCTTCCTAATGGTGACACTGAGGCAAAAAGACAAAAGAATAAGCTAAGATTCTTCTAGGTTTCTATAGGCACCTTTCACTGATGAGGCCACGGGGCCTGGGGAGAGAAGTCAGCTGCCCAGGGTCACCTGGGCATCCAATACACATCAGGGCCGAGTGGCCGAAGAGAGCCCTGGTGTTGAACCCAGGCCACAGGAGTGGCTCAAGGCCCAGCCTGCTCTCTGGTCGCCCTGGCTAGGCGTCCAGGGGCAGGCCTTCCTGCGGCCAGCCACCACCCCAGGCAGTCCCCCAACTCCGTGTCTCCACCCCTCCCTCCCACCATTTTGCGTGGTCGCCCCCGAAGGGTGTATTCCGTGCCCTCTCTCCCCGCCCTCTGCAGGGCGCTGCTGAGCACGGCCTGGAGAAGATCCCAGAGCCCATCAAAGAGGCCACAGCCCTGTTCTATGGTGAGGAGGAATCAACCCATGGGGGGAGTAAAGGGCGGGGCGGGACAGGGCAGGGGGGAAGAGGAACGGTCCCCGAGAGCTGCCCCTCCCTCCGAGAAAGCCAACCCCCACCCCCACCCAGCAGTGCAGCAGCAGCCTCAAAGGGGGGTGAGGCCAAGGGATCCCTTGAGCCCAGCCTAGGTGGCACAGCAAGACCCCACCTCGACAGCAAACTAAAAAATTAGCCAGCTGTGGGGGGACGCACCTGTCGCCCCACCGACTTGGGAGGCTGAGGCAGGAGGATCCCCTGAGCCCAGGAGGATAAGGCTGTGGTGAGCTGTGAGCATCCCAGCCTGGGCGACAGAGTTAGACTTCAACTCAAAAAGAAAAAGGTGGATGAGTCCCCTCCTGCCCTTGGTCTGACACCCCGCCTTGAGACCCTGACCCTTCGGCCCTGCCGGTGGCCTACTAAAGGCTGGCCGGGGGTGATCAGCTGAGGTCTCACTGCTGAATGCAGCAGAGCCCCGGTGCTGGAGGGCAGGCGGCCTCCTCAGTGCTGAGGTTCTGAGGCTGGAGCCTGGGGCTGCTGGGCCAGGATGTGGGGGTGCCCATGGCTCCCCAGTTCCCTCCCTGTCCCTTGGCTTCCCTGGGGGTCTCCACTGAGAGCTGCAGGGGTCTCAGCTTCAAGGACAGAGTGATGGGTGGGGGCTCTGGGCCTGGCCCTCTGGCAGAGAAGATGGGGGAGCTGGCCCCCTCCCCGGGGCACCTGTGGTCAGCCAAGGCAGCTCACCTTCCATTCTCCCCTTCCTGGCTTCCCTGGGCTTCCCCACCGTCCATTCTCACCTTCCTGGCTTCCCTGGGCTGTCCCCACCCCACCCCCACTCTGCTCCGCGCCAGGTGAGCACATACTGTGTGGCTTCTGCCCCACGGCCTTAGCCAGACCTCCCTCAGGGCTGGGGCCCCTGGCCCAAGGGCCCCTGCTGGGCTCTGCCTCTTGCCACCCCGAGCCACTCTTGTCTACCTGTCAGGACCCCCGGCTGCAGCCAGCGGCACCCTCCCAGAGGGCCAAGTGGATTCGCTGCTCGCCATCATCTCCAGCCAGAGGGAGCGTTTCCGCGCCCGGAACCAAGAGCTGGAGGCTGTGAGTAACGTCCTTCTCTGCCCAGTGCTCCTGGGACCTGAGGACGCTGTGGGGGACCCGAGGCTTGGGGGGAGGAAGACGTGTCACAGACCATAAGCCACCGTGGGACGAAATTTCGTCTGCGCATTCAAGGAGGGCTTGGAGGAGGTCGTCCCACCCTGGGCTTTGGAGGAAGAATCAGAGACTCCAGTTAGAGGAGACGGGGGCCCAGGGAGCCCGGAAGGAGGGTAGGTCATTCAGGGGCTGCAGGAACCAGTTGTAGGAACAAGACAGAGTTGCCAAGCGAGTGCCCTCTTGCCAGGCTGGAGTTCGTGGGCTTCCCCCTGCAGGCAGGGGCGCCAGCGAAGGACCACTCGGCGCTGAGGGCAGTGGCTCACACCTGCAGTCGTAGCACTTTGGGAGGCCGAGGCAGGAGGAGCACTTGAATTTGAGACTAGCCTGGGCAACATAGCGAGACCTTGTTTCTACCACAAAATCACAGCATTATCCAGGCATGGTGGAGCCTGCATGTAGTCCTGGCTACTTGGGAGGCTGAGGTGGAAGGATCACCTAGCCTGCAGTGAGCTGTGATCTCACCACTGCACTCCAGCCTGGGCAGCAGAGTGAGCCCCCCACCCCCCAAAAAGGGGGTCCTCTCAGGCTGCCAATTCAGGACAGAGGCCAGGAAGGAACATCCGAATCAGGCGGGCGGATGGAGAGAAGAGGGTCTGTGAAGTCCTAGGAAGATGAACCACGTAAGGACGCAGAGAACCCTGGAGGGTCAGGGACAGGATGGAGCCCCAAGAGCCTGCTGGCTGCCGAGCGCCTGGAGCAGGCCCCCCGGAGGGCTCTGTGAAGAAGGAGCAGGTCCACACGGATGACCAGCTCCCCCACAGTCAGCCCC